CAATCATCTTGAAAATATGCAAACACTTAACTGTAAATCAACCAATTCTCCACCGCTAACATAATGGAAAGGTCAAGTACTTTATTATCTAAATGTTGAAAGTGCGTGGGCGACAGAGAGAAACAAAATGGTGCAGTTTGAGGCCACGTGGCGGAGAGTGATGCGGCCGCTGGAGATGGATTGGGGTGTGAGCAGATGGGTCTGGCCAGGTGTGATGTCGTTGATGTTTGTGTGCGTCTGTATGCTGTCGTTTGTATGTTACATGTTTTGTATTGTTTGAAAAATATATATAAAATCGTACAAGAAAAAAAATATATATTAATAGTTAACACAATTCAGAAATCTGCAATCTGATTGGCACACACATACATAACACACAGGATTACACAATTGTCTTGTCTGAATACCGTCTATGGTACTGGGTAGTTGAGGGCTCACTCCTCCACAACCTCCTCTGCAACCCTCTCTGCAACCTGTAAAACAAAGTTATGAATTAGTTAAATACTATTATCATGGTTCTTAAGAATATTGTGTCCTTCCCAAAAGTTTAGCATTGTGCATCGGTAGTTCATTGGTATTTAACTTATGTTGAAAAAATTTCCAGTGCATGGACCAGAAATCATGTGCATTTGCTGGGTTTTAAATCCAAACAAGAATGGAAAAATAAAACATGACTCAATCCAATGCTTTAATGATGGGTGCCATTGGTGCACACTTAGGGAAGTAGAGCCGTGTAGGGTTTCTCAAACTATTGGTCAGGACCCAAAGTGAGCCCTGGGTATGTGAGAGGCGGTTCGCAAGATAATACATGTATAATCACGTATAACACTATTTCTTCTTAATTTGGATTGTTGGGGGACTGTTAATTCCTAATTTGGGTCTCGAGCTGAACCCCTGAGGTAGAGAACCGGGACATAACACAGATCATGTCACATACACATACCCAGAAAGGTGATGAGAGAGAGAATGCTGTATTGGTCAGAAAGCAGACTGGCAGCAGGACCTCAGCAGAACCCTGACCGGGAAAGACATTATATTATATTATATTATATTATATTATATTATATTATATTATATTGAAAGACGGTCACCACCTGGGCCAAATTACTGTCACTGACTGTTGGTGTACTTTGTAAGAGCCATTTTGCCAGTCTGTGGTCTGGATTCAAGAAAACTGCACAGCGCAGAAAGCACACTGAGGATGATTACTTTCTGTGTAACAGTGACATTGGTTGTGATGGCAGCACGTCAAAGTCTGCAATCAAAGGATCAAGGAGGGGAAGCCTTTATCCTGCATCATCAAAAGTCTCACAATGACTAAAGCAGGGATGTCAACTCTTGCTGTACATGCTCCTGCTCTTGAAGAGAAACTTGTGTTAAAGGAATGAGAGAAAACAAACCGAAGGAAAAGTAGGCAGTTTGAACTGGACATCAAATATCTAGCAACACTAGTGCCCTCAATGTTTAAAAGCAGTGAGGAGAGGAGCGACATGAAAGCGCCCACTAGGATGGACTCGCAACAACAAAAAAGAACTGCTCAATGGCTAACACTGAAACAAAACCCAAACTCTCATTCCGTGTCACACACTCAGAATGTGCAGCCTAAGGATAGGATTCACAGTAGGACAAAGGACAATATTAATCCTCCAGACCCCCGACTCTCTTAGGCCTCATGTCTCAATCAGACCCCCAGATATGATTGGGCTCAACCATGTATCTGTCAGAGCCCTTGATTCCACCAGTAGACTGAGGCCTCTCTTAGACCCATAAGTCAAACTCTCCTAATGCTAACTGAAAATATACCCCATGTATCTAGTTTGATCTGTGAAGATGGTCAGTCAGTGGAGCAGTGCACAAAAGAAAGGAAATACACAAGGAGAAGATCACCTTTCTACAGGAAGAGGGATCTCTTCTGGCTGTGCATAGGAACCAATCAAACTAATAGCCCTTGCTAACCATCAAACATCTGGTCATGTTGGGGCCAGGAAGCAAGTGTAAGAACTGGACACGCACTGAGGAAGGTGCAAGATGAAACATACTCGAGTGGTGTATTAAGACATTTTGCTATTATGAATTTAAGAAAATAAACACACCTGCTCGTCGAACATCTCATTCCAACATCATGGGCATTAATATGGAGTTGGTCCCCCCTTTGCTGCTATAACAGCCTCCACTCCTCTGGGAAGGTTTTCCACTAGATGTTGGAACATTGCTGCGGGGACTTGATTCCATTCAGCCACAAGAGCATTAGCGAGGTCGAGCATGGATGTTGGCTGATTAGGCCTGGCTCGCAGTCGGTGTTCCAATTCATCCCAAAGCTGTTGGATGGGGTTGAGGTCAGGGCTCTGTGCAGGCCAGTCAAGTTCTTCCACACCGATCCCGACAAACCATTTCTGTATGGACCTCGCTTTGTGCACGAAGGGCATTGTCATGCTGAAACAGGAAAGGGCCTTCCCCTAACTGTTGCCACAAAGTTGGAAGCAAAAAATCATCTAGAATGTCATTGAATGCTGTAGCGTTAAGATTTCCCTTCACTTGAACTAAGAGGCCTAGCCCGAACCATGAAAAACAGCCCCAGACCATTATTCCTCCTCCACCAAACTTTACAGTTGGCACTATGCATTGGGGCAGGTAGCGTTCTCCTGCCATCCGCCAAACCCAGATTCGTCTGTCGGACTGCCAGATTGTGAAGCCTGATTCATCACTCCAGACAACGCGTTTCCACTGCTCCAGAGTCCAATGGCGGCGAGCTTTACACCACTCCAGCCGACGCTTGGCATTGTGCATGGTGATCTTAGGCTTGTGTGCGGCTGCTAGTCCATGGAAACCCATTTCATGAAGCTCCTGACGAACAGTTCTTGTGCTGACGTTGCCTCCAGAGGCAGTTTAGAACTTGGTAGTGAGTGTTGCAACTGAGGACAGACAATTTTTACGCTCTACATGCTTCAGCACTCAGCGGTCCCGTTCTGTGAGCTTGTGTGGCCTACCACTTCGCGGCTGAGCCGTTGTTGCTCCTAGAAGTTTCCACTTCACAATAACAGCACTTACAGTTGACCGGGGCAGCTGTAGCAGGGCAAATAAAAAATATAAAAAATTCAACTGACTTGTTGGAAAGGTAGCATCCTATGATGGTGTCACGTTGAAAGTAACTGAGCTCTTCAATAAGGCATTCTACTGCCAATGTTTTACTACAGAGATTGCATGGCTGTGTGCTTGATTTTACACACCTGTCAGTAACCGGGTATGGCTGAAATAGCCAAATCCACTCATTTGAAGGGGTGTCCACAATACTTTTGTATACAGTGCCTTCGGAAAGTATTCAGACCCCTTGACGTTTTCCACATTTCGTTAGGTTACAGCCTTATTCTAAAATTGATTAAATTGTTTTTTCCCCCTCATCAATCTACACACAATACCCCATAATGACAAAGCAAAAACAGGTTTTTAGATTTTTTTTTACAAATGTATCAAATAAAATAAAATATCACATTCACATAAGTATTCAGACCCTTTACTACAAGCTTGGCACACCTGTATTTGGGGAGTTTCTCCCATTCTTCTATGCAGATCCTCTCAAGCTCTGTCAGGTTGGATGGGGAGCGTTGCTGCACAGCTATTTTCAGGTCTCTCCAGAGATGTTCGATCGGGTTCAAGTCCAGTTTCTGGCTGGGCCACTCAAGGACATTCAGAGACTTGTCCCGAAGCCACTCCTGCATTGTCTTGGCTGTGTGCTTAGGGTCATTGTCCTGTTGGAAGGTGAACCTTCGCCCCAGTCTGAGGTCATGAGTGCTGTGGAGCAGGTTTTCATCAAGGATCTCTCTGTACATTGCTCCGTTCATCTTTGCCTCAATCCTGACTAGTCTCCCAGTCCTTGCCGCTGAAAAGCATCCCCACAGCATGATGCTTCCACCGCCATGCTTCACCGTAGGGATGGTGCCAGGTTTCCTCCAGACGTGAGGCTTGGCATTCAGGCCAAAGAATTCAATCTTGGTTTCATCAGACCAGAGAATCTTGTTTCTGATGGTCTGAGAGTCTTTAGGTGCCTTTTGGCAAACTCCAAGCGGGCTGTCATGTGCCTTTTATTGAGGAGTGGCTCCTGTCTGGCCAATCTACCATAAAAGCCTGATTAGTGGAGTGCTGCAGAGATGGTTGTCCTTCTGGAAGGTTCTCTAGAGCTCTGTCAGAGTGACCATCGGATTCTTGGTCACCTCCCCAACCAAGGCCCTTCTCCCCCGATTGCTCAATTTGGCCAGGTGGCCAGCTCTAGGAAGAATCTTGGTGGTTTCAAACATCTTCCTTTTAAGAATGATGGAGGCCACTGTGTTCTTGGGGACATTCAATGCTGCAGAAATGTTTTGGTACCCTTCCCCACATCTGTGCCTTGACACAATCCTGTCTCAGAGCTCTACGGACAATTTCTTTGTCCTCATGGCTTGGTTTTTGCTCTGACATGCACTGTCAACATTGGTACCTTATATAGACAGGTGTGTGCCTTTCCAAATCATGTCCAATCAATTGAATTTACCACAGGTGGACTGAGTTGTAGAAACATCTCAAGGATGATCAATGGAAGGTATTTCTGTTTTGTATTTGTAATACATTTTCTAAATGTTCTAAAAACCTGTTTTCGCTTTGTCATTATGGGGTATTGGTGTGTAGATTGCTGAGGAAATTGTTGTATTCAATCCATTTTAGAATAAGGCTGTAATGTAACAAAATGTGGAAAAAGTAGCATACTGCAGTTATACTGCACTCTGACTGCAATCCTTTTTCATAAGGGACCACAGGGGAACGTTATGTAAAAGTTCTAATTCAACAAAAAATAAAGTTTGAATGTTCTCAGAACAATGTGTTTCTACCTTACCAAAATAGCAACGTTCCCTGAAGGTTCTCCTTTGGTTCTTAGAAAAATTTTTTCCCACAACGAGAACCTTTAGGGAATGTTACAGGAACGTTCTGTGCTAGCTGGGTACCATTCTGCTCATCTGATGAAGGTGCACATGGATCAGATTCAAACTGAAGACCGAGATCGAGTAATTGAAGGCAGACCAGCAGAAAGAGAAACATTATCTGACGGCAGAGACACGGGCGTTGGCTGATGCATTGGTCCAGAACCAGGCAGCATTGACAGAGTGCCAGGCCACATGGACGGAGTTCCAGGCCGCATTGCCGGAGAGTCAGAATGACGCGTTGAAGAGGACGAGGGATGAGATGGAGTCACAATCCATGCCAGCCAGGCACACCTGTGAGCTCTGGAACTCCACCTCTCCTAGAGGCAAAAGCAACAACCGTGGCGGGTTCGTCAGGTCGTCGGTTCACCCTGACATTTCCATTCCTCTTCTGACACCAGAGCTTGACAAACTGCTCACCAAGCACAGCAAGGGCCGTCCGGACTGTTATGCTGTTCTGCTATTCCAAGGATGCGTAACCGAAGAGAGATACCATGAGTGGACACAGAATACCAACTGGGATGGATCCCATGGAAAATGTGGCTTACCAGTGAACCTCAGTGTTCATCATGAATACTGTGTCTCAGAGGTTTCTATCCATGAGTGATGCAACCCAAAAAAGCATGAAAGAGTTAATGAGTAGCCTACTTGAGGTCTCAGAGAATATCTGGACCTGTCCTGATCTCCCTTATCTAAGGAATTAGGCATAGGCCTACAGTAAAAATCTCATTACTGTTTTTGTCACACTGCACAGTAGCCTAATAAAGATATGCATGTTGAAAGTATTTTTTTTACTACTGTTTTTGTTTTTAGAATACAATACTCGGCTTAAAGTAGTAATGGACATTGGTCACAGTTCACGCCTTGATGAGCCATTAAATTGGAAAATAGCCAGCTGAAACTCATAATCAGACCCGCATTGAATCTGCACACGCAGAATTCCAACGAAACTCCACAGAATTTCAAATAGAATGCATAGGATTCTAAAGCAAAAAATAAGCTGCCAGCTGAAAGCAAAGTTAAATTAAATTGACTTGTTATTGAATTTAAGTTTTTCCTCTGTTTTCATTTATGTATTTCAATCACCGAAAGGTGTAGCCCACTCTCCCCACCGTAGCCCCTCTCCTTTGTGAGTGAGAGGTGCAGGAGAGGAGAGAAGTATCTAACAAAAAATGGCCAGATTTACAGCAGAGGAGCTGAGGAGTAAACACTTGGCGACCAGAATCACAGCCAGGGACAGGGCCTTGGAGTTTCCAGCTGAACTGTACGAGGATGGAGGAGTACTTTTCTGCAAAGTCTGTCAGCATTCAATCGACTATATACGGCGTTGCACCTGAGGTCACTCCGACACAAAAATAGGAGGGCTAATTGACCATGTAAACATTCTGATGCTTTAGCTAGCTACAGATATATTAACTAGCTAATAGGTTTGTTCTTGACAATTACATTGTTGTCTGTATCTACATAGTGGCAAGTTAACTACTGTAGCTAGCTAACGTTAGCCTGGCAAGCTTCCCGTGTTGTCACTCCAGCTCAATCACATAATTTAGGCTAGCTAGCTAACTTAGCTGAGGTAATGTTAGCTAGCTAACAAGTTAGCCAAAGTGACATGGTGGAGCTATCAAAACAAGTGAGACGTTAGGAATGACAAAAGCAGCAAGTCACAGACATCTTTTTTGTGACTTGTTTGTAAAAGTTTTTAGTTAACTATCATAGTTTGAAAATGTATTTGTGTGTGAGACATACTGTCAGGTTTATGGGCTGTGTGTCTGTGTCTGTGTGTTAAGGTTAGGGGTAGGGTTAGAGAACATTTTGAATGGGACTGAATGTTGTGTCCCCACAAGGTTAGTTGTACAGGACTGTGTGTGTGTGTGTGTCGCTTCAGGAGAGAGTGTGATTAGCTTCAAAGCTTAAGATCCACTGTAGGCCTGCTATTGAACTCAACCTGAGAATTCATAATTTACCAAATGTAACCATTATTCTTTAAAAACAATTGTCCAAACAATAACACAGACCCTAGCCTCCTGTCTTGCAAAGACCCCCTCCACAGCTGAGAGAAAGGAGTTAATCTTTGACTTCACAAGAACATTAATCAAAGCAGATATACCTCTTGAGAAGGGGCCCAAGTTCTCCACATTTCTGAAGAAACACTGCAAGCAGGGAGGGTCTATCCCAACGCCATCCCATCTGTGTACAGAGTACCTGCCAGAGCTCTATCCACAATATGAGCAGGACATCAAAGATGCTGTAGAGGGACATTTATCTCATCCTTGATGAGACGACCGATGCCTTTGGAAGATGTGCACTCGCCATCCTACTCCAGCCAGTGGGTGAGCGACCAGTTGTAACAGACCTGTCTTTCTTGGATAAAGTAAACTTTACCACAATGTCGCAAGCTGTCATTTCCTGTCTCAACAACAATGGGGTTGACTTTAACAATGTGTGGGCTTTTGTAAGCGACTCAGCTAGCTACATGAAGAAGGCTTTCACCAGCATCTTGAAGGGCCTCTTCCCCAACTCCAGACATGTCACCTGCTTTGCCCATTTCCTGAGCCTGGAGAAGGAGGTTTTTCCAGGAGGTGTTTGAGGACGTGAACAGGCTGTGTGCTGTGGTGAATAAGATGTTCTGTCAGGCACCCCAGTGTCGTCTGGAGCTGAGATCATTCATGCTGGAAAATGGCCATTCTCCTGTGAAGCCTGTGTATGCTGTGGATACGTGCTGTGGAGTACCTGGCAGATTACAAATCAAATCAAATCAAATTTTATTGGTCACATGCGCCGAATACATCAGGTGCAGACATTACAGTGAAATGCTTACTTACATGGATGTGCTCACTGACTTCACTACGACCTTACCAGAAATTATGAAGTGTGTCCAGGACCTTAATGAGCTACTGAGTGAACACAAGGCCCATCTGAAGGCCCAGGCAGCATTCATTGTGGAGATAGTGGCTAACCTGACAAAGCTGGAGGAGACCTCTGTGCCAACAGCCCACAGCATCGCCAGCAAGCTGGAGGACCTGCAAATGCAGTTTGAGTATGGCAGAACAGCTGGGGCTGACGACTGGCGCTCTCATACAACTGAGTTGCTGGGGCATCTTCCAGAGAAAGACAGGCTCTCCTACACTGAGTTGTTCCAGTCTGCCATGGCAGCATGCTCAATCAAGCTGCAGACTGTGGATCACTGATTAATCAATGTATTATTTGTATTTATATGCCTTTGCACTTTGTTGAAGACGCTCTATTTATTTATCTATCATATTTTTACATAAGGAAACGTTTACGATAAAAGGATCATATAAAGGTTGAGTCTGTGTGGAGTTTATTTTTGACTGATGTCATGACTGTCCTGTGAGGATCCAAATAGGTCAGATCAGGTTTGCAATGAATAACTTCAACCAGCAGAGGGAGGGAGGAGGGTCCTGGTGGGGGGTTGACACCTCATGCCCTGTTGTAAATCACAGAGAGAAGATTCACGGATCCCTCTCCAAAACCACCAGAGGAATGTGCCTTTGTTTCCAGAGACTTTTCCCGCCGAAACTCTAACACGTTCTAAAGCGAATACTAGAACAATATTCCTAACATGGGGAAGGGTCAGAGACGATCTATTGGACACTAAAGTCATTTGGTTTGTTATTTTGTGAGGTCATTAAAAATGTAATACTGTAATTTGGAAAGTATGTCCACCACATGTACGAAATGTCCATCCTATACGTTGTGCATGAAATATGAAAAACAATGAAAGTATTTTTGTTAAAATATGAATGTGATTTTAGGAGCCATAAGAGATGAGGGTTTTCCATAAAACTTTGCACAGTAAGTAGCCACGCCCAGAGTGAGGTCAGACAGCGTGTCAGCGTGACGGAACCGCCCCTTTCGACCAAAGTGCATAAAGGTTTGGTAAAGAAATTAACATTCAGACCAGAAAAATGCATAGCTGCAGCTGCGCGTTTAATGTGGTTTGGGAACTCTGAATTGCAACACGAGGTGGAGAAGAAAACTACCCTCCCGGATAATCACTGGGTAGCTGTCCTAAGTAATGTATCTACTCTATTCAAACCATGCTACTACGCTACTTATCACCCCACTGGGAACCATCGACATGGCTGGCTAGCCTATCTTCAAAGAAGCATCTTCCAGAGCGAATGGAAGGAGAATAAACTCTGTAGTTCTGTTCAGGACTACCCGACAAGTCACCGGATACCGGACAACTACAGAGGAGAACAACAGTAGAATACTTTTTGGACAATCAGAGCCTTACAAGCGAGCCGCGAGAAGGCCCAACCAACTCCCTTTCCAGGGCGGCCCGGTTCCGAGAGAGATCTTCATGGCGGCACCTCACGTAAATACATTCATCACTTCTTACTCCAAGCGGGCGGCGGTTTGTGTGCAAAGTATAGGAGAACTATAAGTTAGAGTAGTTTCTAAATGTACCAACGTTAAGTGTCTCTGTCCCTGTTTCTCTACCTTTCCATGTCCTTTGTAATAAGCAGCCATATTGTTATCAGTCCGCTAGGGACCTGTTTCCATCGTATTAAGTTTCCAGTCAATAAATAACCTGTACAGTGTGTGTGTGTGTGTGTGTGTATCCTGTGTTACCATTTAGTTAGCTAGTAAATAAATAATTAAACATATTTGTGTAGTACTGAATCATAAGTAAGGCTCAGGTTTTTACAGATGCAAGGAGGTTACGACGTTCAGAATGATGATATGATACGAGGTTATTTTACATTTACATTTTAGTCATTTAGCAGACGCTCTTATCCAGAGCGACTTACAGTTAGTGAGTGCATACATTTTCATACTGGCCCCCCGTGGGAATCGAACCCACAACCCTGGCGTTGCAAACGCCATGCTCTACCAACTGAGCTACACGGGACTACAGGTTATGATTAATAAGTTGACTGTTTATCGATGTGATAGGTATAGACCTTCTAGAGTTTAATTCGGGAGATGGTAACTCTTTAAACAACCGCTCTCGTGGTGCCCTAAATCCTAATGAGTTCATTGTTACAAGATTAATTTAATAGGGTAACAATTAAACATAGTTAGTTAATTAGAAAAATAACAGTCTTCAGATTAATGTTAAAAGTCACTTCACGACACTGAGCTTTATTAGAAGTATAACCGTAGGTTCATTGTTATCTAACACACATAATTAAGCATTTTACAATGTCAATACTCTTTAGGTGGGTCACAATGCCAAAAGGTTTCATTCTATAGGACTCCTGATATCTTTAGGTGTGATAAGTGTAATTATTTGTCTTTATCTGTTGTGGTCTAGTACTGTCTTCTTTTTTGCTAGCTAGGGCCATCTACTTTAAGTGCTGCCTGTCTTTCCCAGTGGCCTACTTAGTGTGTGAACTGCTGACTGCTCATCATTTGCAGATAGTTGTTGACACATCAACCAGGATCAAGGGGCACGGCAATTTGTGACTGGAGGGGGAGTGGTTTCACCTCTCCTAGGAAATCAGCAATTAGTACAGGGAGGTGTGCTCTCCACCTCTGCTAGGCAATTAGCAATTGGTGTTAGTACTTCAGTCTCCCCTGGTTTCTCAGCGGCAGCTGTAAGCACCGGTCGTGTCAGTGGCGGTTTTGTGGCAAAAC